AGAGTGTTGTTGTTCCATTGAGCTAGTGATAGGTAGTGTCTAGTTTGTGTATTTGTATATCCGTTTCTGTTCTGTGTGTGCGAGTGTTGTTGTTTAGTGATAGTATTGTCTAGCTTAGTTTCGCCTGTGTGTACACGCCTTTATATCGCATACACATGTGTATTACGCGTCGTGACTATATCGATATATTTACGCATCCTTCGTATCCATAACGAAGCCTCGTGGTTCACTCGTATGTATAGGTTGTCATTCTCGCGTGTACTTATCATGTGTTGGGTTGGGTTGGTGTCTATCGCAGGGGCTGAGCATTTGCACGTGGCTATTCTACAGTGGCGTGTTCCATAAGGGAATGATTGATGAGGTCAAGATATGGAACCACACCCGAACACAGGTATGTGTATATTCACGCGATACCTACTCTGGTTTACTTATTGTCATGCATGAGGGGATGCTTTATAATACCTGCTCTGGTATATGTATGTCATCTATACGTAGTGTGAGTGGGTGCTGTATGTATGCAGACCTCTTAATGCGTTTATATATATATATATATAAATATATATATGCAAGGGTATTGATAACGAAGTCAATAAACGGCAGAGACATATTGACATGGTACCAATCAGTATTCCAGAATATAATCCGATTCTTGTAGTTGGCTGTACCTTCGTATGTGTAGTATCGTCACCCCACTGCACAAGCGTGTGTGTGTGTGTGTCGAGGTGTGTGGCGTGTGTATCATGTGTACACGTACACGCCCTACGCAAAGCTCTCCAAATTAAGAAAACCCTGAAACCTTTAAACGCTAAAGCCTACGGGTTGATCTGGCATCTATGCACAAGTCTGTGGCTTGCACCCAAAGGTTTTAGGGTTTAGGGCGTACCGTATGTGAACTTCTGAGTCTGTTTACAAACACACGTGTATATGCGGACATCGTACACACCTCTAACGGGCATGTGCTGGTGTGTAAGCTCCGTTGCGAATAATCTAGATGGACTGGTTTGTCAGGTTATCTATACATAAACACACACATAAACCTGAGCGCAAGATGTATATATTGTGTTCTTCGCTACATTCTGAATAATCTATGCTAGTGTAAGGTATTCGTCAGCTGATGTGCACGTAAACAGGACAATGCACACGCTTACACATCGCTCCAGTCTTTATTGTTTACACGGTTGACGTACTTGTCTATTTATATCCACTCACACACACTTGTCGAATAGTAACCACACGCACACATGTCTATTTATAACCACACACACATATATATCTATTTGTAACCACACACACACACTTGTCTATTTGTAACCACACACATACAAACTTATCTACTTATAACCACACACACACAGGAGGAAATACGAGAAGGCATGTACGCCACACTACTCGACGACAACAAAATGGAACTCAAAGAGAACGTTCACGGACTGGTGAGTTGTGTTGAGTTGGGTTGAGTTGTGTTGTGTTGTGTTGTGATGTGATGTGATGTGATGTGATGTGATGTGTTGGTTGTGTTGTGTTGTGCTGTGTTGTATTGTGTTGTATTGTGTTGTGTTGTGTTGTGATGTGATGTGATGTGATGTGTTGTGTTGTGTTGTGTTGTGTTGTGTTGTGTTGTGTTGTGTTGTGTTGTGTTGTGTTGTGTTGTGTTGTGTTGTGTTGTGTTGTGTTGTGTTGTGTTGTGTTGTGTTGTGTTGTGTTGTGGTGTTGTGTACAATTTGAGACGAGTAGTTGTCTGTGTCTCGTTTTCGCCCGTGTTGCAGGAGAAGGGCCTCTAGCAGTTCCTGCAGTCGTCATTGTTTAGGGCACCTTCCGCACCTGTCCTGTTTTATGAGTTCAGGTCTCTTCAGGTTCAGTTAAGTTGCTGTGTATTGCACATTGGCCCGAGTGAATACGGTCCCTTTGACCTGAGCACCTATTTGTGTTGTTATTGTATAGTTAGACTACTGTAGTCTGACAGTGTTCCCTGTGTTGTTGTTGTATAGTTAGGCTACTGTAGTCTGACAGTGTTCCCTGTGTTGTTGTTGTATAGTTAGGCTACTGTAGTCTGACAGTGTTCCCTGTGTTGTTGTTGTATACTTAGGCTACTGTAATCTCACAGTGTCCCCTGTGTTGTTGTTGTATAGTTAGGCTACTATAGTCTGACAGTGTTCCATGTGTTGTTGTTCTACAGTTAGGCTACTGGAATTTCGATGAGGTTGATGCTAGCGTCGCGTTCGACTACAGGTGTGTCTAAGAAGTGTATACACGGGCCCACTGAAAACTACACCATGTACTGCATGTCCAATACATAATCTATTTATAGATCTCGGCATTGGGAGAGTTCAATCTGTCGGTAATAGTGGTTTTATAGGGTTTAGGGTTTAGAATTCAAAACCCTAAACCCAGTGATATTATTGTGATTGAAGTCGTTCAGGAACGACCAGTCAAAGAGTACGACATACACAATCTATTTTTAAAACTCCGCATTGCTGTATACATCTTCCTCATTTGGTCATGACCTTCGGGTGTAGGCCGTTCGCCCATGCGCGATTCGTGACTGAAAACATTGACTATTCTATGTGTGTAGCTATGGCGGATATTCTAGTGGTGATTGTATGCGTGTTT